GGCACCCAGCCATTAATTAATAAAAATACTTGTGACCCAGCCTTGGCCGCGTCCGTAATTTTTTTTTCCCTGGGAGTGTTAGGGGTGACAATAGAATGGGCGTATCTGAACCGTTGCGCATGTGTGTTTCATAGGAAAGTGGGTGCAGTTATCATAACAGGGTGGACAAACTTTTAAGGATAAATAAAATAAAACAAAATTGACTTCTTGGTCATTTGCATGGTTGCTCAGAAGAGCTCTTGACTTGTAAAAACCCAGGGTTTGAGTCTACATGTACATGCAGTTATATTGGGGGGTAGTTAGTCTCTAACAGGATGTTCGAGATTTACCTTCTAACTTAAGCTTTTAAGTGTCTGCTGAACTGATCAAGCTTACATTCACAATGACAAATGCCCCTGGCCCTCCTAGGAAAACAACACGCTGCCCCTCCGTTACTTGTTAAATGCCGATTATGGCACAATTGTGGGTGGACCTGTGAAAAGGACCCGACCCAACGTATAATCCAGGGGGGTACGAACATACCGGTGGACGGCTTACTTTAGGGAAATCCATTCGACTCAGTTTTTGTCTTAACGAAACGGATGGTTGGTATTTGCCAAGTTCTGCATAACCGTAAAGGGAATTGCATGTGCGCTTTTATGTTCACTTCAGTATATCACGCAAGATGAAGACAATTTGAGTCATCACCACAAATCCAACGACCTGTAAGAACATTCTTTGAATGACCGAAACGAAAAAGGCAACCCATCAACAGAACAGGCCAGTGCATTAATTAAGGCTTGTTAAGGGCACTACGCGTAGATGCCACCATGGTCCGACCGGCCACAGACCTCGAGGAGAGATTTTTTTTTCCTCCTTGCGGTCTATGATGCAGCCGACACGACAGTTGTTTTCACTTGGTCTTTCAAGCCTGGGCATGAGTGAGAGTTCAACAAACTTTTCTCTCAACATTTTTGTGACATTGTCACTAGTTCGTATAGTTTTAAACATCTTGTACAAGGCATATATAGCCAGAATCTTTGATGACACAATATATTTTCCTCATATAAAGACGGCTGTTTTATTTTTTAGGGTTTAAAGCACCCCACTGTATTGGGTTGGGGTTAGGGGCACTGGCTAGCGTAACGGACCAGCTCACTGCCACATGACGTCCGCGGCAACCTTTTGTGTACATGTACTACAGACATACTGCACATACGTGAACATGTACTTGTTGGAGAGTGTGATGCCAAACCCTGCACTAATGCTTGCCATGTATAGCTCGGGTAAACCGTGAGGCTTCTCGACACTGGCTCTACCCGTATAAACTAATGGGTCGGCCGCGCAAAGTCAACGCTAGTTAAGTCAGGTACTGTTTGGCCTGACGTTCGTCATCTTTGGCCTCGATATTTCTGTCAAAAGACTCATACAGGAGGGCAGAAAAAAACTAATAATACTTCTTTCAGTACCCCAAGAAAAATAATTGTCTCATTTTGGGAGAAAAGCAAAGAAGCACAAGTGAACATGATGTAGGCCGACAGCCCGTTCACTGAGTTATATATTCAGCGGAGGACAGATTGAAAATGAATGCTCGAGGACTTCAACAATTTTGGAGTGAACGCAAGAAGCCGAGTGCAGCTTTGAGCAAACATTTGAGTGAACGAAACGACGGTCTTTTCCAGTTCCCACTGGTTTATTGATTGTTTGTTATATTCATTTCGTTTATTTTTTAGCGGAGTAACATTCGATAAATCCTTAGAGATAAAAACAGATGTCTGTTGGGAGGAAATATCTATGTCACTTCGCTCATATTGACTCGTGAATCCAAGCACGAAAAGCTTATGAAAGATGGTGGTCCAAGTCAGGGTTATATATGTATAATGCACATGGCTATGTTGTGGTTGTAGCTGTTTGCATACACGTACTGTACATATGCACACGCAAAGCGAACGTTTCTAGCAGTCACAGGCGTGCGTTGTGAGTTATTAATAAAAAGTAATACATCCCGAGAATATTTGGGCTGCGTGGTCCATGCGGCCGCGCCGACGTGGACGTACCGTACATGTATTGTACATGTATGTTGGGGTCTACGTGGACTTCGTATAGCATTCAGAGCAGCTGCCGTGCGCTTGACCTTTCCTTTAAAATTCCCACTCGGCACAAAACAGCCTGCTGACAAATACTCAACCAGTCCCTTTCATGTGGCATCACTCTTAACATCTGTGAACACTGAATATTGGTGTGTCTTGTCCTTTACATGTCTTCAAATAAAACACACGTACATTCATGGATTTATGATGCTTATGCGATGCTTATGGGAGAGTGGACAGACCATCCCACTCGTCATGTTGGAAAACTAACGAAATTAATAACTGCACTTAAAATTTGCGTTAACAAAAATTTAAACCATGAAAGCCCTGAGCTCAAATTTGAATGCCATTTGGTTGTATCAAGAAGAGATGAAAATATTATATGAATTTAATTAAAAGTGCCTTTCTGTCGCTCATTCTTTGACAGAATCCGTCAATAGGCTCAGGGTAAAATATCATTTTCACACAAAACATCACAAGGGGGTGGAGGGTTTTTCTAATTCAATTCATCCCTCGTAATTTTCTGCTCGTCCACGGGAAACCCCCAATACCTGTATCTAAATGCAAAATATGACCTAGTTGCTTGTTCCAGTGACAACTCTGAAACATAATTTCTCCCAATTTACGATACACAAATCGCACTTACATCGTCATACGTCGATATTCATTTAATTTAGACTTTATCTTATGAACAGCAACACCAACCGCCGGTTATACTAGCTTACCAAAAAATCCTCTTAAAAATGAATTCGTCTTTTGAAAAGCCTTGCAGAAAGGATTGATTGACAGCTCATTAGTCATGGAACTGGTTTCTTAACTCCGGCCGAAGTCTCTGAGGATACCGCGGGTTTGGCACAATACAGCACTGGTGATCGTAGCCAATACGAATGCCTTTTATTGTCTAGTTCGTGGGTCATAGGTCAAATTTGTGGCCTCGATATTCCCAAATTTATTGACACTAATCGGCAATCCTGTAACACCTGTTGTTGACATTTTTCTGAGGGATTCTCTTCTGTGTTGCCGCCAGGTTGAGGGACATTTTTCGGATCTTTCTCTGTGTTGTATTTTTTTTTTCAAGCTTCATGCTGTGCCGTCTCTCATTAAATCGCACTTAACGCGATAAGCATCGACCTGTACAACTTCGTACAATTTTTTTTTTTGACCGTAATAACACACTATCACTTGTAGAGCCAAACGCGTCAATCGCACAAAGCATAAGATACTCATTGTGTCGCACCATGTGTAGTGCACTTTGTGCCGAAACGCGTTAATCGCGATAAGCATACAACTCCCCAGCATTTTTGAAATTCAACCATGTTGAAAAATGCCTCATCGCGTCAATCGCAAAATTCTACTTCCTTTCGATTTTAACGTTTTTAGGCCTTGGTCCTACAGAAAAAGCTGGCTTTTAAATGTTCATGGTATTACATGTCAGCCTCATAAAATTAATCATCAATCAGAGGTTACATTACTGTGGCGCCGCGCCCCTCCGACGAAAGCGAGGGCGCCCTCCTCCTCGAGGCCCGGTGCGTCGGACGGCACGCCGGAGAGTCCCTGAGCGGCTAGGGACGAGTCCGTTGGGACCGAAGTATACTGTCCCCCAAGAAAGTTGGTCTTCGTCGAGATGATGGCTAATCTGATTGGTCGAAACTTAATGACGTAACCTGGACAGACCTGACTTTAAATAAACTTCGCCTGGACTCCTGACTTATATACAACAATTCACAAGCGGCTGGTTTATTCATCAACACACTCAACCAATACACCAGTAGAGGGCGCTATTGACGGGGAAACTGCGTGATTATACGTGACCGGACTTCGCCCAGAGCAGTGAACACCACAATTAATTGCGGGCATCCAGTGCCGAATCAGGGACTTTAGCAAGTCTACGGGGCTTATTGTCAGGGCTGCACTACACGCAACTCACGTCACGAGATAGAAATCCACCCTTGCATCGACAGCAAGCTCCTATCAGGAACTATACTGCACCACCAATCAGCCCCTCAACCTACCGAGCCCCTTAACAGCACACGCACCACTCGGACCACACTAGGCTAGGTGACTTTAACCCTTGCACAGGATTCTCGACCCTTACCTCAGGATCAGCCCTTTATCAGGACGACTAAACTTAGACTACACGGGCACCACGAAGAAGCACCCTGTATTCAAACTAAAAAAAGGTCCTGAACGGAGCGTGCTACTTCATGGTGCCAGTGACGATATATGAAAAGAAATGATGCAGGTATTTTTTTCTCTTTATTTTTCCTTTTTTTTTGGTGTGTTTTTGTCTTATTTTTTTGCTACAGTTACAGAACAACATTTATTTGTAAAAAACGATTCTTTAATTCAACCTGGGCAAGACTAACGAGTTTGAGTAGGCCTACTCTTGACAAGCTGTGGGTGGTTTTTATGGATTCTAAGACTAAATTGTTCCTCAAGCTATAATCAGAATTTTGGGTATTCTCGTACCCAATGTCAACTTCTACCCGAGTTAACTCGTAGCCAGGTAAACTTGTACCCAAATCAAGTCGTACCCCATATAAATTTGTGCTCGATTCGAACGTTAATTTTCTTTCTTTCATTTTCAGATGCTGGATGTTTCTGCGACATGTACTTCCAACTTTGGAATAGTCCTCAATCTTTTTGATTCTTTGTGGGCAATAAACGAATTAAACGTATCTTTTTAATAAATCAGCTTCTTGTGGGTAATTAAAAAATTAAAACTTGTTTGTTTTGTGGGCAATAAAAGAATTGATTTTTTAAGTGACAAAAATCATTTTTTGTGGGCAATAAAAATTGTATGTCTTTGGTTGGCAATATAAAATGTATTTTTTAAATCAAACAGACGTGCCGTTGTATCTCTTTTTCTATGAGTCAATCTTTCAATTTTTGTGGGCAATAAAAGAATTAATTAAATTAGTCAGTTTTTGTGGGCAAATAAAAATAAATAAGAACATGTTGGTTGTTTTGGTTGGCAAAATATTTTTTGATAAACAGTAAACAGACATATGCCATAAAACTTCTTTTTGGAAGATGTGTTGGCTCTGAAAAGAGTCGGTTTTGTTGCTGTTGTTGTTTTCCCTTTTCAATGCCAGGCCTGTCAGGTGCTTGCAGGCAGCAAGCAGGCTAGACGTCTTCAGATCTCCCGCCTCTAACGTTCCCAGGGCTTGGATCCAGTGCGATTTATCTTTAACCAATCAGGTCTCATATCGTCTTCAAACAGCTTTTCGTTGAAGCCGCTTTCAATATAATTAGCAAGTGACTTGACCGCGATATCTTTTACTATGACGCGCCCCAAAATGACGGTGAAGTTAGGTGAAGCGCGTGCAAGATGGTTCTACTTCATGAAACAGCAATAAATGGCAGGATCATCCCAAGACATTTCTCATGAAAGAGTGCCATAAGGGAGGTGAAGTACGTTCGTAATGAAAGAATCGACGGGACCTTCCCCGTAAAGGAAAGTAAGGTGAAGTACGTCCATTATGAGAGGATCAACAGAACAATCCCCGGAAACTACGCAAAATCGGAACTTAATGTTACAACACCAATTTATAGAAAGATATTTTACTTCCAATTTTAGCGTTGGTTTTGTCAAAGATGCTCCTGAATAACCCATATCCTGCATAACTGGACACGCATGCAAACAAATTTATTTAAAAATTACCTTACATATTTCCAGTTTTATCATTAAGATCCTCTGAAAACCCTTTTACATTGCGCCCGAATCGCCATTTTTTCCACAGGGCTTGGAGAGCTGACAGTATACAATGCCTATACACACACTCTAAAAACGCATTGTCGTGCAGCTCTGATATGAAAATAGTAATAAAAAANGCTGGGGGGTAGCTGCAAGACCAACTGTAGCTGTTGTTTTTAAGAAAAATATGGAGTTCTTTGTCAAACGCTATGGAAAATAATTTCTCTACATTTATCATAGATTTAGGGGTAGAAGCACATGCATAATTTATGCATGTAGAGGTCATGGCCTGGGTCACACCTACCCATTTATATGACAAATACAGCGTGGACAAATTAGGAATTATATACCAATATCTTAAGAATTACTTTAACTTTTCATTTCTTTTTTTTCAGAATGGAATCTGACGGGAAAAAAAGCATCAGATTTTATCCAGGGTTGGACGTACTCCTGCTAAGGGAGATAGTTGCCGACATTCCCCAAAATAAATCAATGTGGGAGGCCATAAACAAAAAGTTGAATGACGTCTTGAAAGAACGAAATGCCTATGTCACTTTGAGAGCATGCAAGGATCGCCTTCGCCACCTACAAGAGGCACACCGCAGGCAGGAAATGAATTCATTGCAAGCGTAAGTATCTATTTTGGTAAATTGAGAATTGTTTTCATGAACTTAGTGAAACTTGGTTTTTCATAACCATAGAGTCTTTGGACATTATATTCAGAGATATAATGGGTGCATACTGCTTTGAGGCATCTTGGGGGATCATTTTTAGAGAGTTAGGTTTTTACATGTAGGTGTTTTGAAATGGCAGATGTTAAGGGTTATATTTTTTATCCATTCAGTAGACTTGTTAAATGCACTTATTATTAATGCAGTCAGTAAGATCTAGGGTACTTTTTGCCCTGGTTAATCTGATGCACAGTCTTTTTTGCCATTTAAGAATGATTTTTCAAATTTTTCAGCAGTTCATGGTTGACTTCGGATATGTAGTCAATAAGAAAATCACATGCATATGTGTATCCACAAATTTGTTTGTAAACAAAAAGTTAGGTTTGAGGAAGGCTTCGGAGAGGGGGATTCGGTGGCAGTAGGAGTTTTGACCAGTACATGAATGCTATATTTTCTTCAGATCTGGAACGGATGAGGAGTATGATGAAAGGGCACAACTGTTGACCGAACTGGCTGAGTTAGATGAGGAGCGGAAGAAAGCCAAGGAAACATCTGGGAAAGACACACATGCCAAAGAAATTCAAGGAAAAGAAATCCGAATGGCAGCAATGGAATCCCTCGCTGGGACCAGTAAGATGAATACTGATGGGAATATACGTGAGGAGTACATCAAAAATATGAATCGTTTACTGTGACTGGTCTTTACTTGTATCAATATTTTTGAAAATCATAAAACTAGCTTTTACTGCAAATTTAAGCTGTTTTGTTTAGGTTTGTAATTTACAATGGGGAATAATACCCCTCATCTACAATGCCATGTGGATAATAACCTTGCACTAGCCAAGCTTCTAAATTTAAAGACCNGAACTTATCTTCAAGAGAAGCTGGATCTTGAACAACAGAAATTTCAGTTGGAAAAAAGGGCGAGAGAATTGAGGCTTGAAAGAGAAAACGAAATGTTTAAGATGATGATGGCATTGGTTAAGGGAAAGAATAAGGAGAGCTAAACAGTTTGCTCAGTGAGATGCAAGTCTTGTAAATAAAAAAGACAAGGTTTACCTGTAATTTTGGTCATTTCAGATTTGTCACAGCTGAATCAGAGTAACCATTTTTTTTAGTCTCTTCAATGGCAGGACCATGATTGCTGTTGACCATTGTAGTTTTGTATTAATTAACTTAGCTCACCTTTGAGTTAGCCCTAGCCCAGCTTTGAAATGCAGGGGTGTGCATGGGTGCACCCTTGGCACTCGCTGAATGTGGGTGTGAATGTATATAAGAATTGATTAAACAGAATGTGGTGTGAGATTTGCTACATGTTTCGGTAGAGGGAGCACGGTGTTCTGATTTATGCTGACTTAGCCATTTTGGTTAACTTGTGCCGTCCCTTGGCTATTGGCACAGATGATTGAGGCTCTGTGAAGTCTTCGGGGTGGCTCGGACAAGCATATGTCGGCGGAATAACAGCAGTCGTAAGTTATATCTTATGGTTTTCTATTTTAATTGTTTGGAATTGATTTAATGTGCCATCTTGACAGAGTTGTTGTACTCGTTTTGCCAAGGCGTAGTTTGATGATTGTCTATTGTAGATGGTCCTTATATGTTGTACATGGATTAGCGGATCCCTGATGTTGTAGGCAGCCAGTTAACCTGTGAAGCTTGGAGAGAGTCTTTAGCTGCTGGGAACTCCATTGGTAGAGTGAAGCCTCGCTGTTCCCGAACCTGTGTAGATGAAACTACTGGCGGCTCTCCACAGCGTCGTCCTGCTCTCGCGATCCAACTAGCCTTGGCGATCTGGACGATGGGTGTGGAACTACCGTAACTGTGACGAGCACCACTGCAAATCTCCCCTACATAAATAGTTTCTTATTGTTGTATAACATTCTGATAATTTTTTGATTCCCTTTTCGTCTGGCCTTATCTTGTGAATAGGATTGAAAGTTCAAGATATTGGATTTATTTGGTTTGTTGCACCTCTCTAAGTCAAACGTCGTTGGAAATTTACTGATTTTTGCTGTTTAAGTGTCACCCTTGTGGTAACCTACTTGTGGTATTGTGATATTTTGGTCATAAACGTGTAAATTGTTTGAATTATTTGACTTGTCTAGATATTAAAAGGAATTGCAGTTTGAAGTAACTCTAGCTAATTTACTATATATCCTCCACAGTGCGGATGGATTGTGTGGTTAGACGTTTTAACATTGAGCGTGGAGAATTGACCGGCAAATCAAGGATTCTAGAACTGTTTTATATGAAGAAAGGTTGTGCAAGAAACTGAAAGTTTTATAACATGAATTGATGATTGAGCATTGCAAATATTGAGTAATTCGTATAAAGGAATTTGACCGTGTAAAATAAGAATTTGTCAGGAAATTTAATTGTAAGATAAATCTAGTGTGATTGATCAATTTGCCGTTTTCTGGTAATGGGCCAAGTTCTGCATTGAGGGACATTTTCAGTATTAGATATTACCCCTGCAATTTCATGTTGTGCATAATTAATGTTTTGAAGAAATTTAGATGTATATGTTGTAAATATTAAAATTTTGTGTGAAGTGATCTTCTTGTTAAAGTTTCCATAGACTGTGACAAGATTTATTTACGTATTGTTTATATTCAGTCTCTCATTTTAAAAAAAAATTTATTGTTGATGTTTGTAAATAATACTTAATTTATCCAACGTGTACATGTGAGGTATATTTAATCATATGTATATTCCTAATGTATATACATGTATCAAATTATTTATCATTGGATGTTTATGTAAGTTAACTATACCTGTACATTGAAAATTGACATCCTCAGGAAATGTAACATCAAAGTCTAGACTTAATACATGTAGTTGGCTACACACAGTATTTAAACTTACCAAATGACAATCCTGTCGCAATTTAAGACACAACACTTAATCTGAAGAATCCCTTGGTTCAAACATTGGATTGAAGTTTATCATTCGGTCTCAAATCAAGCTAGCCTATTCTTAAACCCATTCAAATTAACTCCCACCACAAGCATTCCTTTGTCACTAATCATCCAGTCACATGTGACTAGACTTGTGAAATGATCAACTTTGTGAATTAAACTGATAAATCAACAGTTTCTTGAACAGTGAGCAATGGTCTGATCTTAAATTGCAAGTTCATCTGATAGCTGATTGGTCAGCAACACTGCCTGGGCATACTGGGGCTATGCATATCACGCTAGATAGTCCTCCAGGGAAGGTGGCTCCATTTGGAAAAACTTGCTTGTCTGATTTCCATACAAACAAGTGTGGCAGTTATTAAGAAGACCTCCAACAAGGTAGTACTTGGCAACTGGGGACAATAGAACTTTCAAATTCTGCGAAAGTCAAGGAAGGCAAAGATTGTCAACATCTTTCCAAATTCCCACTCCACGCATTCTCGCACAGATGACATTCTAGTGTTGAATTCTTCTTCTTCAGCTCTCAGGTTTGCCCCTCTGAAAGGACTTATCAGGTAGTGTCGGAGAGGATACTCCGTGTCTCCATAAAGTTCATAGGGGATGCCATTCCTATCCGTGAAATCCCTTGCCTCAAACTGTTCCATCAATGCACTGATACGGAGAAGTGCACTGTCATGCCTTCGTCCCTCTACTGGGCCATAGAGATGTGTGATCAAACCACATGGTATCACCACAGACTGGAATTTCAGTGCATGGATTCTTCTGTGTCCGTTAAAGCAAACTCGCTGATAACGAGTTGGCATACAGATTGGACGAACTGTTCCATCCACAAAACCATTGCAATTTTGCAATGACGCTCCTTTGTTGTGTATTGTGTCTGCATAAAGCTGAAGGTGTGCTGCATCAAGCAATGGGTTGTCCAAGAACAGGAACCGATGGTGATGAGAAGTGTACAGGAAGTCAACAAGCTGGTTAATAATCAGTGATAGAGTTGATTTGGGTCTGCCGAACAATTCTTCCAGGTCTGATAGCCGATTTGGATAAGCAAATCTCCTTAACAATACACAGGCAGTGTCAATACCATTGCAAGTTGAAGCATTTTTCAGTTGTATGCTCTCTGGAACACCAAGTAAATTACTCGGGCGATAAATATCACCTTTCTTAAATCGAAACTTATCCAAACACTGATCATCTGTCAATTCTGCTAAGTTAAACCTTGGCCATGCAGGGTTGTAGGTCACTTTTTTTCTTGAGTCAGGTGCATTTGCAAGGACAAGTTGAATAAATTCAGCATCTTCGTCTTCAATCGCCAAATCAATCAAGTTGAGATTAGGCGCAGCCATCTTTAAATCCCCTGCCGATACGCGCCCTCTATTCTCTAGAGCTCATTCTAAACGTAACCAGGATCACCCACGAAACAGCCAACAGTACACGCACAAGTATACGACTGCGTTTAGAGATAAACTCTCTAACCGTATGCCAACGAAACCTCTCTAATACGTTATCAACTACATGTAAGAACAGGTTTCAAAATAAGCAAAAAATAAAAAGGCCAAGTATATGTTTGACATGTTTTGGGAGACACTTGCAGAGACTTAAAGAGTTCTTTCAAAGAAATCTGTTAAATGAATCACACATGTAAAATCATTTCTTCTCACAATTGAGTACTAAGACCAAAGTATTATTTTACTAATTAAAATGCACTGCAGAGTAAGTGCAAACTTGTAAAAGACATGACAGATTCACTTAAGACTTTTTTCAATAAACACGCGTATTTTTACATTTTGCACTGAATCCATTTTCATTAATGATGATTATGCACATCAACGTGAGTGGAAATTTTTTCAGAGACTTGGCTTAAATTTTGTTCTGTGAACAAACAAATTTATTTACATATTCCGGTGCTTGATCCAAGTTTACAAGTGATTATAATGCAGAGCAAAATGCAAAAAATTCCTTGCAGAGATTTAGCAGGTTCATTTTTAGATGTGTTTGGTGAAAAACTTTATTTTCATTTTTCCATGGTTGATCCAAGTTTACAAATAATTATAATACACAGCCGAGTGAGTGCAATTCTTTGCAGGTTCATTTTATAGATTGTGTTCTGTGAAAAACTTTACTTTTCTTTTTCCTGTGATTGATTCAAGTTTACAAATGATAATAGTGCACAGCAGATTGATTGCAGAGACTTAGAAGGTTCATTTTATAGATTGTGTTCTGTGAAAAACTATATTTTCATTTTCCTGTGCTTGATCCATGTATACAAATGATTATAATGCACAGCAGAGTGAGTGCCGATTCCTTGGCAGATTTATTTTATAGATTGTGTTCAGTGAACTATTTTATTTTCATGTTTATACTCAGTTCAAGCTTGTCAATTATTATTGTTGATGTAATACTTATAAGATTGTTTTCTTAAAAATGATTCTCATTTGATTGATTCAAAAGAGGCTGAGTTACCTAAAAATATATCTTTAGAATTTTTAATCATCTTTTTAATAATGAAGACACTGTTTTCTGCTCGGAAAGTTGTGAAATAAAAATGATGGATATGAAGATGCTCAAAGATCGTTTGTTTTTTCTTCATTCGAGCCTTTGTTTACTCTTCTGGTGCTCTTCAGTACAAATGGACACCAGGAGTGCAGAAATATAGGACATTACACCGAACATGAAGAGTGCATTATTTAGCTCCTGGCATCATTAAATTTCCCTGTTTAAATTAAAATCAATAGAAAAAAACTAAAGCCGCTGCAGTTAGGAGAACGCGCTCACAATGTGTGCGCTGTATTATTCTTAAAATCTAATCTACAGCGATTATGAAAGCTCAGCATTATTTTTAAAATCCAAGAGCGCACATAAATTGGTT